GTTTCTCTCACATATTGCTGCTCCTCTCTCCTGGCTGCTGCTGTGCAGGGTTTGGGTTTTTTTGGGGTTTTTTTTTCCCCTCTTCTTAAATATACGTGCTGCTTTTGGCAGTACTTAGTTGCTGTCTGGGGTTAAACCATGATGATATGTTATCACAGAGGTACTACCACCGTTGCTGATGAGCTTGGCCTTGGCCAGTGGTGGGTCTGTCTTGCAGATTGGCTGTGTTGGACATGGGGGAAGCTTCTGGCAGCTTCTCATCAAGAAGCCACCCCCTATGTCCCCCCACTACCAAAACCTTGCCATGCACACCAAATATAACTGAACAATACTGTGTTTGTGTTTCATGATTTGTTTCAAGCTGAACTTTTCCAATGTCTTTCAGTGGTTTTAATGGAATGTTACTGAGTAGTTTCTGTTAACTTGTGGTTTTTTTCCTTTCCACAGCTGCAAAAAGTAAGAGTGAGGGCAAATCGGTAAGTATTGTTTTCTCATATAAAAAATTTCTATACAGACTCTCTTTGGGTTACGTTGTTTGAGTAACTTTAGCAATGCACAAAAAAAATCATCCTATAAACACACTTTAAAAGTATAAAATAAGGAGTTATTGGCCAACCCACACAAAGCAGCTTATTAAATCTCTGCTAAACATTAGTGTGCTCACCACCCCGATAAAATGTCTGAAGAGCCTTTACTGACTGAGCAGACATTGGTTGGGAGGAGAAGGGTCCCTGGAGCCCATCATGTTACTGAGTTGTCATCATCCACCAACTCTTCCTGAGGACTCTTACCTCTCAGTGTTGGTTTTTCCTCTTGAATCTTTGAACTGTTAATGACACCTGTCTCAGCAACCCTATCTCTGTCTTTACTTTTCTTATTTCACAAGGTTTTACTCGGTAGACTTTCCCCACAGGTTTCTTACAACTTAGTGGTTTCCTCAGCAGCCAAAGTCAAAGTTGTGCCGTGCAGTGGTGTTAGACCTGTGCCTGCCATCCCCAGGGAAGGGGAAGGTTACGGAGAACGTTATAAAACATAACCTGCAGGTTACCTCTTCAGTGGTGGATTCAGTGCTTTCTGGCCAAGAGGCATCACAAGAGAAGATGTTTCAGTAAATGTATAATACACAGAGGTTTAAGAGGACAGTATAGTGCAAAACAAGAACAGTATAGGTCATATATTATCAAGGTACAACTGCATATTCTCTTCTTGCTTGTATTATCTTGGAAAAGTAGAAGGAGGTCTGTTACCTTGTGAAAGACTCTCTGGCTTTCTCCTGCGTGCCCCTGTTTGTGCTCAGCCCTGGCTGTGATGTGCGAATCTCCACCAGTTCAGGAGCACCCAGTAAAAGCCCACCTGTGGCTGCTGTGCTGGCGTGTGAATGCAACACATCTCTGCAAGGCACATAAGCGTTAGTGCCTTAAAACAAAACCCGGCCTTGGTGCAAACTTGTTACCTCTCCAGTTCAGCATGTAACACCACCTACGCAGTAAGCTGTTGGGTGGTGTGATGGTGTAGCACCAGGGAGGTTTGTGAGACCCCCAAGAAGGACAAAAAGGTTTTACACAGAATCACAGAATGTTGGGGATTGGAAGGGACCTCAAAAGATCATCCAGTCCAATCCCCCCGCCGGAGCAGGAAGCTGAGCAAAATGAGCCAAAATGAATACAAATGTGGTCTGATGAGTACTCTCTTTGGGCAGTTGTGCTCTTGGCCCTGGCAAGTGATGGTGCTGCTTTTGTGAAGTTCTGGTGGGGATGAATCCCACCAGCCCCTGGGCCAGGACTGCCCCATCCTTTTTTCTGTAGGTAGGCCAGACATGGGGAAAGCCATCTCCTGCTTCGGATGGGGACATCCTGTCCTCCCCAGCTGGGTTACACTGGCAGAAATCAGCTGCACAGTGTGGGTTACTGTTTTAGGTCCTGACTAAAACAGTAGTTTTAGTTGACTGTTAGGTCAACAACTGCTGAAATCAAAACTTTTTGGGTATATCTAATGGGTGCTGAGCCAAACCTTCATGGTTTGGTTCCCCATCCACCTCCTCAGGAGCACTAATGTTTGTGTGGCTTAGTGATAGTGCATGGACCAGTCTGGGTGGCGTTCTTCTGTATGAACTCCAGTCCACCAAAAGCTGTGTCCAAGTTGGGGCTAGTAATCTAGAGCTCCTGCTATCTTCAGCTGAGGGTAACAGGCACCTTCAAGTGGATTTTGTCTAATTTTGAGATACATATGGATGGTCTCCTTTGGAGATACCTCTTCCTGTGCATGGAGGATGTGATAAATCAAGAGTGACAACTTTCTATTTAGACCTCTGTTTTTGGTTGCTCTAAAGCTAGATGAGTCCCACCAGGCACTCCTCTCAGCTGAAGTCAAATTCTTTCAGTGACGATTCTTTATCAAACCATGGGTAACATGTGCACTATGTACTTGGTTCAGTTGATAACAAAGATCAATGCTGTTCAGGTTGCTTGCACATCCTTGTGTCCCAGTCAGACTGTCAGCAATACTCTCTCCACTCTCTCTTATTTTCTTATTTCTTGCAGTATTTACAAATGAATAAAATGTTTAAATGTGTATCTGTCTCAACTGGAGGTGTTTAGCAGTAGCCTCAGGCTTCCAATTTTAGTATGCTGTGAGGGTTTGGCATGATGGTTTTTCTGTTGGGTTTGGGTTTTTTCAAAGCTGTTGACTATTTGTGTATTTTTGGATACCAGTCAAGGTTACTCTAAGGGTTAGATGCTGCGGACTTCAAATGTGCATAGCGGACCACTTGAAGGTCAAATATAGCATTGCTAAAGATCTTTTGCAAAGGGCAGATAAGAAGTCTGTAGAGCTTTGCGGACCAAGAGGGGAAAGTGAGAATTGACTCTTGGTTCAGGTAAACCAGTATTGTTCCACAGAAGCTCATGCAACCTCCTAACTCCTGAGTACCTACCCACTCCTGCTGCTTCTGTGTTGAGCTTGCTCAAGCTGTGGGCTGCAGTGAGGAATGTTAGTCTGTGTTACACAGCTCTGAGCTCACACTGTCTGTCTCTTGCCTGCAGCCAAGCTGCTTTGGTTACCCCTTGAGCATCTTCTTCATTGTCATCAATGAGTTCTGCGAGCGGTTCTCCTACTATGGCATGCGAGGTACGTTCTGTGTGTCCTCTTGCCTACCATTACGTACCCAGTCCTGACTTTGGTTTGTAATCTGTTGTTTTGCTGTTCTTCCTACAGCGGTGCTCGTTTTGTATTTCAAGTATTTCCTGCAATGGGATGATAACTTGTCTACAGCCATCTACCACACATTCGTTGCTCTGTGCTACCTGACACCGATCCTTGGAGCACTCATTGCGGACTCCTGGCTGGGAAAGTTTAAGTGAGTTCTTCCTGGGAAAACCAAAAATCATGAAAGCTCAGCTGAGCTCAGTGGTACTCAAATAATCTCTAAAGCAGCAGTTTGGAACAGCTTCAGAGCTGGTGTTGGCTGCTCCAGGATTGTTTGTGGTTTTTTCCTCCAAAGCTTGAGGTTTTAATTGATTTGGCTCAACCCTGAAACTCCACTGTGAGTTAACAAATGTTACAGTTCGGCTAATCAGTTAAGGCTAGTAGCCTGCTTTCCAGGCATGATGCATGTTTTTTTTCTCTCATCTGGACAAAACATAAGTGAAACTAAGGAAAAGTATTCACCAAGCTGTGAAAATAGATACTGGAGGTTATAATTGCATCCTTACCTGATGCAGGTGGACAATGAAATTGTGAAATACTGTGTTACCTGGTATTAGCTGAGATTTTTGGAATCTATTCTAAAATATTCTGTAATGTCAGTATTAACTTGACAGCTCAGTGGGAGGCTTTACTGAGTTGCAATTCTTTCTTTAAATGATGAATTCTGGGTTTTTACTGAAGTTGTGATTTTAATAGTATTTACTTTGCCAGAAAAAAAAACCACAATAAAGATTTTATGGAGGGATGTGAATCAGGAACGTTAATTGACTTGTCAAAGGTCTCAAAGAGATTAGAGGTGAAGCTGGCTGGGCAGTCAGTTGGCTGAAGGCTGCACCATCTTCTGCTGTGCTGGCAGCCTCTGGGAGACCAGGGCTCTGACCACTGCCAGGTATGCCTTGGGAGCCAGCCCCATCACAGGAAGCTCAGAGCAAGTAGCTTGACATCTTGCAAATTGCAGCCTGAATATATGTGCACTCACTTGTTCAGAAGGTATGATTTTTAATTTTATTATATCTATTTTGCCCTTTACCTGTTTTATCAGATAAAGCTTTGCAGACCTTGCATCCCTTCTCCTCTGATACTTGTGTACATCAGTGCCACAGCTGCGAGCCCCTGGCCACCAGACCCTTAACAGGAACTCAGGGCTTAAAACTGGAACTTGAAGCTTGACCAGGAAAAAAAAGAAAAAAGAAAAAAATTAAATAATTTTGAGTTTAATGTATAGATGCTCTAAAATACAGCAAGATGTCATGAGGAAGGCATAAACAATAAATCATAAAAAAAATCCATGATGACAACAGGAAGAGGAGGTTACCCAAGCACTGTTAGGCGCTCTTATAGGAGAGACTCAAACCTTACACAGTCCATGTAGTCTGTGCAATGTCGGCCAAGGAGCATGCTGGGACCTGCTCACATATTGTTAGATGTGAAGTTCTTAGGGAAAACAGTACAGAAATAATTTTTATTTTTTTTAATTGGTTACCATCTATGCAGTGCTAATTATGTAAGTGTTTTCTTCACAGCATGTTTATGAGCCTTACAAATGAAAAAGAGAAGTTTCTCTCCTGGTCAGCTCAAGTTTAACTTCAATTGGAAACTTTCTCCCAGGTTGTTCAGCAACTAAAGTAACTATATGGAGGTGCTATTTTTAAAAAAGAAAAAGTTCTAATTTAACTACTAAATATCACTAAATAGCAGATTCACTGTTGCCCCACTTTGTACAGATTTTTGCAATTCTACAGGAAAGAGCATTTTTAAGGTGAGCAGAACTTGGTCAGTAATGTGAGTGATGCTTCCTCTGTCCCTCTTGTGTCAGGGTGCTTCAAACTTGCTGTGAAGATCTCTTGCCGTTGTCAAATAGGTTTGGATTGTCCTAGGTCCTTGAGCCCTGTCCTTCATCGTCATGGGCTGGGTTTGGGACTGCTTCTCCTGCAAACTAGAATTTTAAATAATTTCACATAATTGCATCCTATTTCTCCTGCTTTTCCTCCAAACTGGAAATGTGACTCTGTGCCTGTTGAATGGAGCCTCAACCAAGGAAGTGGATGAATGTGGATTAAACTATAGTCACATACTTAAGCTCCTACAAAGTTAAAATGGAGTATGTTCTTACCTACAAGAAAGAGGAATGGGACCTAAAGGCATGGGGGTGGGGGCTGGTGAGTCTGCAGTATTCCCTTCCTAGGCACCTCCTGGCAGAGGAAAGTCTGTACTCTTCATTGCTGCCCTCACTCTGCTCTGACTTGAAAGATGTTGGTACATTTACAACTGAGAGAAGTGAGGTAATAGAGTTGTTGCTCACAACAGTATTTTGAGAGAGTTTCCATGTTTAAAGAAGACTTTTAATTTTTAAATTTTTTTTTACTTCTTGCAGCTAAAATATAAAAGAACATAGAGAATGTTTAAACAATATTAAAATCCGTGTAAATTGCATACTTCAGTGTTGTAGAGTAGTCCTTTTGAACTTTGGAATATATGGAATATTATAATGGCATTCTCAAGTTGGTCATTAAAAAGGCAACCACTGAAGATATTTAAATATCTCCCATAATTTGTTGATATCTAGAGAATCCATTTGTTGTCTTGCCTTGCTTAATTAAACAAGGCTAGCTATAATAATAGTAATAATAAACAGAATAGAAATATTGTGACAGAGGTATATGGACAGATTTTTACAGTACCTTGTGGTAAGTTGAGTCCCTAACTTGTCATATCTGTTAAGTATACTTCTTTACTAAGCATCTTTGAAATGAGCAGAAGTCTGCATTATCTGTGTGTGTATGTATATGTGTGTAGTTGCATTAACGTAGTTAAAAATGTATCTCCTCTCTTTATAACAGGACCATTGTCTCCTTGTCCGTTGTCTATACGATTGGACAGGCAATCATGTCTGTGAGCTCCATCAATGACCTGACGGATCACAATCGGGATGGCTCTCCCGATAATGTATCGGTGCACATGTGAGTTGCCTTGTACGTGGGTTTTTTACAGGTTGATGAAGGGTGGGACAACTCATGCCTTAAATTTATGCTACTTGCATAAAATCTCTTATGTATGCTTTAAGTAAGAAAGCAAAGTGATTTCTTTTTTTTTTTTCCCCCTTTTTCTCTGTTCTACTTTGTTTCAGTGCTCTGTCCATGATTGGCTTGATCCTCATTGCACTTGGTACTGGTGGGATCAAACCTTGTGTGTCAGCATTTGGTGGAGATCAGTTTGAAGATCATCAGGTAACAATGCCTTTCAGATTTTCAATCATAACAGATACTCTTACTAATCTTTAGCTGTTTATAATATCCTAGTAATATGCATACTTAGACATGTGCGTTACTGTAGTGTTTCCTGAGTAGCTGAAGAAGGAGCTAGATAACTATTTGTATTGAACTAAGCAAACAGAGCTGCTGATTGTTCAATCTGGGCTGATCGACGTGGTTCTGTCTCTTTCTAAACATCATCTTGTTTTTACTGTAGGAAAAACAAAGAACTAGATTCTTCTCTATCTTTTATTTGTCCATTAATGCTGGAAGTCTCCTATCTACTATAATCACCCCAATTCTCAGAGGTAAGGCCGCACATTTGCTTATGAAATAGTTAAACATCAGTAAAGGATGAATGTTGGATTGCAGTCCAGTTAGGTTTAAATGAACAGTCTGTTTTTTTGACACCTTATGGACTTCTCTGGCAAAATAGTCTTCCAGTTCTAATGTGAGGTGAGGTACTGTCAAAAAGAAGGCAGTTTGAGATCTGAATTGCCTTTAAGATCAGAAGCACTAGATCTAAAGAGACATGCTGAAGCCATCAACTTGTATGCCTAGTGCACGTTTTCATTCCATGGAGATACAAATATGGGACCTTTTTCAAGCCTTTAAAACTGTCCCACAAGAAAGAGTTGCCCTGTTTGCTGGGGAGGGGAGGTGAGAGAGAGCCCTCCACTCTGGAAGTGGAGACTATTCTGAAGTGTGCCTGTGCAAGGTACAGAAGCATCTGTGCACGTGGGTACACATTCGCCCATCTGGCAAAGTAAATCATGTTTTTTCTATTATTAAAAGAGAAAGTTATTTTCTCTTCTGCTTATAATGAATAGCGTGATCTTAAACAAAAAGCAAACAATTCACTGATCCATATGTGTATGGATTTTTGTGGCAAGCTGGCACAGGTGGTGCTGTATGGATGTGCTTGGCAGGAGTTTGAGGAAGGCTGTTTTTCTCAAAAGAAAGAAAACAGCATGTGAGTTCTGGAATAACCCTAAAGCACTGGGCTGAAGTGCTTTTTTCAAATCAAACTCTCTAATTCTATTAGAAGAATAGAAATTACCTTTTCTATGTTGAAAAGGGTAATGATTTTATTTAGTCTTTTACTTTTCCCTTTTAGTAGCTATGTCCACACTCTTGAGCATAATTTCAGGATGTATGCATGAAGTTTATAAAGTCAAATCACTGACTACTGCTGGGGGGGGGGGGGGGGGGAGGGGGGGGGGGGAGAGTATGTGTAGTGTTTGAGAATTTTCTCAACAAGCTACACTTATATTACCTACATCTTTGTTTACAAACTTGTCCCAAAACTTTTGTAATCTAGTTCCTTTCTCACCAATAATATGCATTTGACAGTCTAGTAGGATTCTTCACTTCTTAGTGTAAAATTAAATGTAAATCTCACGGGAGAGGCTGAGAGAGCTGGGACTGTGCAGCCTGCAGAAGAGAAGGCTCGGGGGGATCTCATCAATGTATATAAATACCTGAAGGGAGGGTGCAATGGCAGAGCCAGGCTCAGCTCAGTGGTGCCCAGTGACAGGACCAGAGGCAATGGGCACAAACTGAAACATGAGAGGTTCAGATGTCCTCTGAACATCGGGAAACACTTTTTCACTGTGAGGGTGACTGAGCACTGGCACAGGTTGCCCAGGGAGGACGTGGACTCTCCATCCTTGGTGATACTCAAAAACCGTCTGGACACAGCCCTGGGCAACCAGTTCCAGGTGGCCCAGCTTGAGCAGGAGGGTTGGACCAGGTGACATCCAGAGGTCCCTTCCAACCTGAACCATGTTGTGATTTTTTTTTTTTTTTTGTGATACATAAGTCCACTTTTCAATAATGAAAGATAAGTTGGATACTCCACTCTGTCAATAACGTCAGCAGAAATATTGTTTTTCCTCTGAGTTAACAATGAATGCAAAAAACAGAAACTCTGTGTAAAATACTGGCAGAGCTGACTGGGACTTTTACCCAATGTTACTTTGTACTTCAGCTCAAGAGTGTGGCATTCACAGCAAACAGCGATGTTACCCACTAGCTTTTGGAGTTCCTGCTGCCCTCATGGCTGTCGCCTTGGGTAAGTGGAACAGTTTGTCCTGCTGCTTCAGTTATAGACATGATCAAATGATAATGATCTTGGAATAATGAGAAAGTGGTAGAAATCTCCAGGTATCAACCTCTACCAGTACCTGGTTGTTTCTGCAATTTTTGACAAACTTTTTTCTTGAGTGGGGGGAGGGGGTGGGATTAGCCTGAAGCCCTCACTTTTACAGGAGAGACTGATGGGGCTGGGGAGATGCACAAATATACCATTGAATTCTGTATGTTATATAATTTACTGTCTATATTTCTTGGACTACTGGGGTGTATAAATAAGATATTTTGAATGTAGTGTGAGAACTCTGAGAAAATGTAGTTTTTGGAAACTATCTGTAGCCCAGGATAGCATACTGTATAAGGTCATTATCCCTGCATTGGAGAAATGCCCTACTGGTGTGCTCGTATTTCTCAAACACCTACATTTTTACTAGCTGTGCTACAGGTCACTCCCTGAGCCTTCCTCCTGCAGCACAAAGACTAAGAAACTGGGGGGTGGTCAGTATGTACCCCAGTATCCCTCATGGTCCTGGTCCTTCACGGTCCTGACCAGAAACCACCCAGGGTGGACCTCCAGCTACCAGTGACTGCATCTTGCCTGAGCACCCAACCAATCCCAGGGTGGATGGCGGCTGTGGGGCCCATGTCCTGCACCACACGTGGGAGGGTGAGGCTGGGGAACGTGCCTGGGCGTGGGAGCTGAGGACACCTTGGTGAGTCCTGCAGTTCAGGCGGGGCCTCACGTGTCCCTGCGTGACATGAGCTGCAGCATCATGGACTCCTGAAAAGAGTCTGTAAAGCTGTCTTAACCTGGTACAGCAAGACCAGAGCCAACATCCTAAAATGATCCTTGTTTTATTCATTACCTCAATTAAGCTAATGTCCCACTGAGGACTTACCCTAAGATTTTCCAGGTTTAGTCCTTCGTCTTAAATAGAAGCAATCTGCTGGTATTAATTTGATTTCTTTTAATCTATGATAACATGCTGGTAGGCACACTCATTGCTCCTTAGGAGGCTTGTTCCCACCCTGATGTAACTCCTTGACTGTTAAAGCTTCCATACCAAGCTATTATTTGCCACTATTTTCAATTAATCCTGAGTTGCTTTTGGTTTCTGTTCGCATATTGTAGTTGTGTTCGTCATTGGAAGCAGAATGTACAAGAAAGTTCAACCTCAAGGAAATATAATGATTCAAGTTTCCAGATGCATTGGAGTAAGTGCTATTTGTATTCCCAAAAACCCTGGCAGCAATTTTAAAAACTGTTCAGTAAACTTGCCTAGATCAGAAATCTGTCATTAGATTCTGAAGTTTTTTACTTTTTTCCTTACAGAAGGCTTCTTACTGACACCCCTGGGTTTAGACTGCCTTTTTAATCTATAACTTGGTTTAATGTGAAATTATACACAAAGGAAACAAAGTAAGATGTCAGTGATATGTGAAAGCTTATTCTAGCTTCTGGGAATCATTCCTTCCTCATTTGTGCACCTTTATGCAGCCCTGTAGGAAAAGACAAACATGCCTTGACCCGAGACAAGAGTAGAGCTACTGGTATATCTTATCAGCACACACTTGTTGCTCATTAAAAGAATGTTACTTACAGTGCAGAGGTGTATTGATCCCTACTGTATTAGAGAGGTTGGAAGGTTACAAGTCAGTGCAGCCCTGCAAGGAAGGGTGCTAAATCTGCTTGAATAGCACTGCATGTCCCCACTTTGCAGTGACTCAACTTTGAGATCAGGGGATTTTTTTAGTTTATAGGCTGCTTCATTCTTCACGCAGATCTGCCAGCTTCTTGTAGCCCAGGCCATTGCTTGTCTTGCAAGCACTGTCAAAACCAAATCCCTGTAGGTGACTTTAGCCATTGCTTAAAGTGCTTCCCCTCAGGCCCAGCTCAGCTTTGCATGTTATTCCATGCAGAAGGTCTTTGGAGTTCTTCAGGACTATATTGTGAAGGTATGAGGAATATCTACAAGATGCAAATTCTCTTAGTGAAATGTACTCTTACAGCTCTTCAGCTCTGGAAACCTGTGTTTCCAGAGCTGGAAACATTCTTCTATTCATTGTTGTACATAAGTAAGTCTGAAGTAGGCAGGTCTTCCTGTTCCTAACAGCAACCCACATTGAGAGAGACTATTCTGAGCTGTTTGGTTCACCTAATCTCAGATGCACCCTCCACTGGATATGCAGTGTGAGGCCTTAGATGCAATATTCCCTTAGAGCAGTTAACAGAAGTAAGTTACATTTAGCAACCTCTAAACACTAGGAGTATCATCTTTAATGAGAAAACAGCTTATGGCATTTTATAAGTATTTGTAATGATGTTAAACTAAGTTCTGTCTCTCCTCAGTTTGCCATCAAAAACAGGTTTCGGCATCGCAGCAAGGAGTTCCCCAAGAGAGAGCACTGGCTAGACTGGGCGAGTGAGAAGTACGATGTAAGTACTGCGTAAGCACTCCTGTGCCTTCACATCCCCTGACCCTCAGCTTCTCTTCTGGCTGCTCTGATCCATTGCCTCAAACACTGGGCAAATAGTTTTGGGCCTCTCAGTCATTTAGAAGCTAATGATCTGGGCAAACCTCAGAGCTCCCCTGGGATTGCGGGTTATCACCCCAGCTCCTGTGGGAGAAAGCAGAGATGTCTGAGGTGATGCTTGATGTGATCGTACGCTGCCCAGGGAAATTCAAGGGAGATGAAGAAAAGACTATTTCCCTTGTTGAACAAATACAAGTACCTATTACTTTTTGAGTTAGTAAAATAGCAAGCATTATCCTTGTCAGCTTTTTGTTTCTCTCAGTATGCTGGTTTCAAACAAAAACATGCTGGTTTAATGAATGCAGAAGGGAAAAATGGGCACGGTGTTAACTCTCATGGTTATTGTGCAGGGCCGTAACACTTGTTTTGGGATCAAACTGCAGAACTGTGCTTAGGAATTTCAGCTGAAGTGGTTAAACACTGCATTCCCCTGGCCTCAGTACAAGCTCCTTACCATGTTTCTCAAAGCCTTGTGTCCCACAGTCCCCAGCCATGTCCCTTGCCTCCTATCCACCCTGCCCTGTTGTCAACAGCAGCACAAACCTTAGCCTGTCCCCTTTATTTTCCTTTTGCCTATATGCATTTTTCATGTGTGAAATGCTTTCCTCAGTCACTCGACATTTAAACACCACCTTCCTAGAAAAATAATGCAGCACTGTACTAAATCTCATGCTGCCATCAGTGTACATGCCAAGAGGCACAGGTCTCTCCGATATCAGTGTCACCTTTAACCACCAGCCCTTCCCACACCCACAAACAGACTTTGTGCTTTTTAACAGAAATCAGCAGAAGTACCCACAACATATAAAGTTTTAAGACATGTGTAGACATTATATAATGTGTCTTTGCCTGTTGCTGTGCTGCAAATAGCAGTCTGCAACTGTCTGGTTTGCTTTGTTGCTTTGTGGTGTGTTTTGGGGGGGTTTGGGGGGTTTTTTGGTGGGTTTTTTTACAAATTTGTCTCATGTAATTCTTCGTTTGCTGCAGAAACGACTGATTGCTCAGACTAAGATGGTGCTGAAGGTGCTTTTCCTTTATATCCCTCTCCCCATGTTCTGGGCGCTTTTTGACCAGCAGGTAAAGTAGAAATTGTTTGGCTTGGCAATTAGAGATGTACCATGTCACTCTATGTACTCTGAGGTCACCAGACATAAAAGGTGCCTATGGGAAGGTGGAAAATAATTCTTTGCTAATTCTTTAACCCGGTTCTAATGCAAAGGTGTATTTACTGAGTCATTTTAGTGCAGGATGTTCTGCAGCCAGGGGAAATTCAGTTTATCTGGACATGCCCAGGACTGATTTGGTGACGGAGGCCTCTCCAAATCTTGTATCAGCCAAAACCCAGAGGATGAAACAGTAATTTAAAGCTTTCTTAGTTCTAATGTTTTTTCCACTGTCAATTGAGATGAAATGTAGGGTCCTAGCATAACTGCTCTGGAGCATCAGGGCTGAGATGACCTGGATGTCAGTTTGCTTAATCACTCAAACTTTGTATAAATACATCACACCTTCAAGCAGAAGTATAAGCCTATAGTTCCCATTTGCTTCATGGACTGAGTGCTCAGGGCTCATGAAAGCAGGCTTTCATAGTTAACTATTGAAGTATGAATTTAGGAGGGTGTCTGAGAGAACCAGAAGCCGAGAGCTTTATCCAAGGCAGACTGTAGGAAGTTTGGTTCAGATTGCCTAGATCGTGCTGCTTTGGCCTAGTACCAGGGAGCTGTAACTATCAGTGTGACCTGTTACAAATAGGTACTCCTGCTATGAAATTCAGCACTAAATACTCATTACATGAGTAATAACTCGTATCTCAGACAGTTAAAGGCTCTCACAAAAGCTGCGGCGATGCGCAGGCTGAACATGCAGCCCTGCAGGACCTGGCTGTAGGCAGGTTTTCTGGGCAGAGCACTCAGGGCAGGGTCAGCCCTGGCTTGGCCGCTCACTTCTGGGCTGTGTAAGGAAGGATGGACACGTCCGTGGTGCTGGGAGCTCAGCTGGGCTCAGGCAGGCACCAGGTGGCTTTGGGTGCTGGGGTGGCTTCTGTGCACAGCACATGGCAGTGCTCTGCGTAGGGTGTCCCTGCCATCTCGCCAGCCCATCTCTGCACCTGAACTATTTTCCACTCTATTTCACAAACTGGTAAATAAAGTGAAATGGGCCATGGGGATCACTTTATTCAACTGTGTACACTGCAGAGTAAGAATACACCTGTGGCAAGCTAGCTTTATTTTTTTATTGTATTGCATGTCTTTCCCAACACTTTAACTAATGGAAACAATTAACTTGCAAGATTGATTTACTGTCGCATTTAACTTTCCCTTCTTTTATTAAGGGGTCAAGATGGACACTACAAGCCACAACAATGGATGGGAATTTTGTAGGTTACTTTTTATTGCTTTTTTTCCTAATTAACATTTACCTTTCAGATCAATTTTATTTGTTGTCATAATATTAAAACCTATTTTATTTTTTTTTCTTCACCAGGGTTCTATTCAGATTCAGCCAGACCAAATGCAGGTACAGTAACTTTCTGTCAGCCAATTCTAAGTACTTCCAAAAGATTTTATATATTTTTATATTTTTTTTAATTGCCTTTCATTAAAAAAGGACTTTAAAAAATACTGAAGTCTTTTCCCTTCTTATGTTCACCTTCAACAGACTGTGAATCCAATCCTGATTGTTATAATGGTCCCAGTTGTAGATGCTGTGGTTTATCCTTTAATAAAGAAATGCAAGATCAATTTTACGTAAGTTGATGTACTCACCTGACTTCAGCAGAGGCTGACTTTAGTGGTTTCTTTAAACTGCTCTTCCAGCCCTCATGTAAGAGGAGCAAGCATTCAGCTAAGGAGAAAAGAGTAATGTATTTAAAATGGGATTAATATTTTAAAGAAACAAAAACAAACTTTAGAATACGGCAAGTTGTGTGTACAGGCGCTACAGACTAGAGGAAGAGAATCTAATAGTGAAGTAACAGTATTTTCCAGTTGAGGGCAAAATCTTTTGATTGCAAGAAAGATGCTGTTTACTGTTTTCCACTTCCCCCAAATCTATCCCCTCTCCCTCACAAAGTATAAGTAGAAATACAACATACATCCTTAGCATGTGTCATATTTGGGGCTTAAAACCACCTGAGACAAGATGTATTTCCTCTTCAATCCTAGTGAGGAGTCTGGATCACTGGATATGGCTAAGTAGAGCTTCAGAGGGCATTACACGTTATTTTTCATGTTGCTAATAAAGTGGGATAGCACTTCCAATTAGGAGAGGCAGAAGAAAATACAGTTCTTAAAAACAGTTTTCACAGGGCTAAGATGCAATGCTATTTTTCCATCTAGTTATGAAATCTGTGGGCATGTGCTGTGCTGGAAACACTGTCATTCATTTGTAGACACTCTGCATCTGACAAATGGTGCCATAAATAAAATATCTACCTTAAATTTACCCCTACAGCTTGCTTCAATGTCTGTAGATGTCTCCTACTTCAACTTATTTCCCTGACTTTTTTTTGTTCAATATTATTTTGTTTTAAACATAGCAATATAGACAAAAGTTGTTGCTCCTTTATAAAAGGCATAACTCCTTGTCTTTTTGTTGTTTTGAAGCTGACAAGCATACTGGATTGGTTTTTTTCCTTCCTGCAGATCAGACTTTTCCAGAAACCTAATAATTATGTTCAGTCACTGTTTGAGCCCAGCACATGCAGTGTAACAGGTTATTAAGATGCTGCAGGAAAGATGTATTTCCCAATAGTGTCACTATGAATTGAGGCACCCAACTCAGCACAACACTTTCTGTAACACCATCAGCCCTTCAAATGGTGATAATGTGCTAGTTGTGGCTATTTGAGTTTTCTGCCATGGAAAGAAAACAACTAACAGCTGAAACTTTAAATTAATATTTGTCTTAAAACTCACGGCTGTGTTTTGTTGCTGTACCAGGCCCCTGAGGAAGATCACTGTTGGTATGTTCCTCGCATCCATGGCTTTTGTTGCTGCTGCCATTTTGCAAGCTCAAATAGACGTAAGTTCAGCTGCATGCAAGTATTTACTATTAATATTTAGTTGCTAATCCAGAACAAAGTGTGTTTAAGGTAAAAATGAGCCAAGACTCCTAAACTTGGAACCAAGCATATGAGCACAGGAGCAGAGGGAGGGGATAATATTATGCTAATCACACTATTGCAATATACTTTAATAAAATTAACTAGCTATGAACACCATCCTGAAAAAAAATCTCGTCTGCCATTAATGTAAATCGCACATTAAAGGCAACCTCACATCTTCAAACTGAGATTAAAAGCTGAAAACCAGAGATTTGTTTGGCCTACCACGTGAGGTGCTTTGTTTCTCTGGTCTCTTCTGATATTTAGACTGAAGGTGAAGTGTGACAGTCTGGGAAGCATCATCACAGCTGGGCAAAGACGATACCTGTTTAGGACAGGATTCGTCACACCACTAATTTTCCTGGCCCCAAAGGGTGGTGTCATGCCTGCACCAGATGAAGGTTTCCCCTGTAGCTGGGGCATGAGCAACACCTCTGGGAGGTGATCCCTTGGATCTCAAGATCTGGATAGCTATCCAGAGGTGCCCACCTGTCTTCATGAGCTATCAAGACAAGACGCTCAACTCTTAAGTAGCTTTAGTTAGGAATGAGGAATTCTCTCCTTTATGCCTGGGTTCATCAGCTAAATAAAATTTATATTGAAGTCTGCCTCTTGAAGTTGGAAGTGAAGTGTCTGGCCTTCAGCTGGTATAGTCACGTACAGGCTGTCTTCCTGAATGCCCTGTTCAGAAGGCCAGAGCTGTGCACACACACATACCAGCACTGGGCAGAAGTTTCATCAAAGCTGGTAGCTTCCTAGACAAGAATCTCCTGCAGAAAGGTAAAGATGGACCTTGTTTTGTTGTGTGATGTACCTAAAGATATTGAAGTGGACAAAAGTATGGGAAGAGAGGAAAGGTTGAGGCAGAACTAAAACAGACCCAACTCATGCTGCTCTTAATGCTCTGAGAGCAGAAACTATTTACTGTTAGATCTGGTGGGAAATGGAGTCTCCAGAAGTTCAGTTTCTCTGGGCTATCACACCAGGCAGTGCCCATATATGCTTCTTTCCAGTTCAGCAGCACCAGTGCTGGAGTAGAATGAGTTGGAACATGGTACAAAGAAATTCAGGAACCCAGGCAGCCATAAGATGTGGGAAAAGCCTGTTCCTTGAACTGCAGGTTGGCCTTGGTAGTGGCAGCATGCTGCAGGACATGATCGAAGAGGAACCACATGTGGCCATGGAGGCATTGTTGTGGATGAGAGA